CACCCTTCATCACAAAATGATCCCAAGGCAGATTACATCAAAGCAACAAATAAAACCAGTATTACAGAGTCATAAAAATCATTCCAACTATTCAGCATAGTTAAACCCCTAAGTTCACAGCACCCCACACTTATTTACACCCTTGAGCTTGGACAGGTAATTCCACCCACAGAAAAGAAGGACCAAGCTCACTGTATCACCACTGCGTGATGAGACCTTGTACACCCAAGATTTGTCCTAAACTATACCAAACAAGGGATGTGGGTGGCGCTGTGGGTTCACCCACAGAGCCTAGGACTTGCCGATCAGAAGGTCGGCGGTTCGAATCCCCGCGATGGAGTGAGCTCCCATTGCTCTGTCCCAGCTCCTGCCAACCTAGCAGTTCGAGAGCATGTCAAAGTGCAAGTAGATAAATAGGTACCGCTTCAGGCGGAAAGGTAAACGGCATTTCCGTGCGCTGCTCTGGTTCGCCAGAAGCGGCTGAGTCATGCTGGCCACATGACCCGGAAGCTGTATGCCGGCTCCCTCGGCCAATAAAGCGAGATGAGCGCAGCAACCCCAGAGTCGGTCGCGACTGGACCTAATGGTCAGGGGTCCCTTTACCTTTATACCAAACAAGCACAGCAAACAGTTGCTTGCTTTGCTCTTTCCATTCTTCCACAAGGAGGCATGTGAAGCTAGTCATTTTCTGCTCATGATGGAGGCAGAAGTTCCATCCTTGGATACATATCGCATCCTACCAGACTTCTCCAGAAAAAATAATAACTGCATATGCCTTTGCAAGGGTTAGGGTTAGATCAAGATGGACCAAACAGGCCTTCTTTCTAATACTACCTCAAATCCTATTCCAGTTTTCAGTGTCATTAAGAAATATGTAGGGAAACTAAACGAGATCAAGGCTGGAGTCAGAGGAATTTTCAAGGTAGACTGGCAGCTCTATTTATATAGGAGACTGCATGAACAACTCTCTCTAACTATGGTTGAGTTGATGATGCACTACTTACTTTACATGAGGCCATTCCCACACTTCAAACATGAGATGGCATTGCTCTAAATTTAGTGATGAATATGGACGAAGTGTATTGCAAGTACTTCATTATGCTTGGTAGTACTCCTTACCTGTCAATTCTTGCTCACTTCACCATCAGATTACCTAAGCTTTTGCCTCATAGTGATTTCACTAATGATTCCTTAGCCTGAATATCTGGCTAATAGCCAGTGAAGTAATTATGATTATCCTCTGGCAGATATTGATTTCGAAGAAGAAACATTACATGTCTCTTTGAACTTTATTGAGCTAATATAATCAGCACAAATTGCTACAGAAGCTTAAAACCAGCTTATTTAGTGCTGGGTCATTTTTGCTGCGATATTTCTACTGGTTGTTGTAAAATACATTTGTGTTAAGGAAGTCAGAGGAAAAGAATATTACACTAATCAATAGTAACCACAATTCTTCTGTTTAACCCTCTAAGCTCAGGTACTCACCAACTTCTCTCAGCTCTCAGTTCACCAGAAATTGGGATTTAAGAGTTAGTTCTGATGATCCAGCCATGAATATTTATGGCATGTGCAGACAATGGATTTAGAGACATTTAACAGTTATGAGATGAGTTCCCTTCCATAATCAAAGTCTGTTTTTATGTATCTGCCTTTCTGGAATTAAAATTATTAATTAGATAAGGATTATAAGTCAGCTTGCATATTAAAATGCTAACAAACATATTACAAATGTAACAAGAAGTTGATGAGGTTGTGCATACTGTATAGGTAATTCTTCCATGTGGTTCATGGCTGGAGTCAAATAGGTCTGTTCTGGTTCTTGCAATTTAAGGGTCAAAAACCCCTCACATCTATATAAGAATTTACAAGATGCGTGTACAGTGTGCTCTAATTCAGGTGTTGCTACTATTTAGCATTCAGTGAGCACCACTAGCATTCTGAGTGCTGGAAAATTGGCTGAGTTACAATGACTTTTAGCATCCAGAAAAGTATTGTCGTGCGGTTACCATTCAGAATCTCAGCTCTCCCTTGGTGCTGTCATTGCGTTCTACACTGACATGCAGCCTCATTGAAAACTAGAACTAGAGAGGACCAGAGTATGACTCAAGATGTGCGTCACTGATCAGTGCTGATAGCTCCAATCCTGCAAAAGTTAGTCATCATGGTCAAGTTTCACTGAAAGCAATAGAAAATTAAGTAATTTGCAATTAACTTGTTCCATTGGTTTCAATGGAGCTTTGTGATATCAAGCTTTAGCTGGATAGGAGCTGATAGTTCACACATGCGGTTATCTTTTTTTAAAAGAATCAATGTAATATAAGGAAATTGTAAGTTCTGTTCCTCGGGATCCATGATGACTCCTTCACACAGGAGAATAATTGCTTGACTTGCAGTTAACAAATGAAGGACATGTGTGTTTGAATTGGCTACAAGAGAGATATGCTAAATCAAGTTTTAAGCAGTTGTGGAGCCAGTTGTATGTAGTGTTTTCACATAGGACCACCTGTCATATGAAGAATGGTTGGGCATTACACTCCAGGATACTGATTCTTGTAGCTAGGTAGCTAGTCTTGTCTATACTTGCTCTTTTCTTCAGGCTCCCATGCACCCCACAACGTTTGAAAGACTGAGTGAGTGAAGCTTAGATTTTGTTACCCCTAAAGGTACTGCTTCTGAGGTTCCAAGGACTCACTCTTCAGATAGAATGCACCCGCTGTTTGCTGCACCGCAGCAAGTCAGCTGTGGTACAAAAAAAGTACCTGCTGCTATCCAATCAGTAATATCTGCTTAGCCATATGTTTAGGATTTGGCCCTCTCCCCTACCTGTGGCTATATACAATGGCTGAATGTGCTTTACTGTGCTAGGCTGCTGGCGCTAAGCAAATGGTCCTGGGCCATTCACCCTCATTGAGCCTCACAGTAAGCTAAGAGCTGGTTTAAAATAAATACAGTGGTACCTTGGGTTAAGTACTTAATTCGTTCCGGAGGTCCATTCTTAACCTGAAACTGTTCTTAACCTGAAGCTAATGGGGCCTCCTGCTGCCGCTGTGCCACCGGAGCACGATTTCTGTTCTCATCCTGAAGCAAAGTTATTAACCTGAGGTAATATTTATGGGTCAGCGGAGTCTGTAACCTGGAGCATATGTAACCCGAGGTACCACTGTATAATTATTCCGGGGTGGAGGGGAGCCACAAAATTTAACATTTGTTTAAAAATACCTGAAGGAATAGCACAAGATCTCTTGTGCCCATTTTGTGTCCCTGTTCAGTTGGCACTGGGAGCAAATGTCCCTACCGCTCCAAGAGAACGGTGTGGCTCCTGTCACACAGAGATTTTAACAGAAAGCTTGACATTCTATCTTCCACCCACAGGCCACACTACCCATGTCACTTATTATGTTCTAGAGAAGGTGCATATTTCAAAGTGAATAAATAAGAGGCCTTCTTTCCAAATAACTGCATGCCCAGAACAAAAATAAATAAATATCTGGCAGTACTCACTCCAGAGTTGGTTTCAAACACCAAGTCCTGACACATGCGGTGATGCCCCAAGTTTTGAAATATGCCAGAGGTTCCCAGAGGTTCCCAGAGGTTGAATATTGCTGTTGGGTTTTCACATTCAGCCCACTTACAAATAAACTTGGCAAGAGGACACAGCAGCAAGAAATATTGCACAGTACTTAGGCCCAAGCTGTCACCACCCCCTGGCGACTCTGTTTTCCCAAAACACTAAGAAACATTTATTTTTAACTGGGGTTTTTTTGCACAAAAGGGGGGGAAATGCCATCCATGTGAGTCTACAATAAATGAGAGAAGTACAAAGGGCCATGGATCTTGGCAGACCTGGAAAGGAAACAGGGAGGGAGTGTGTGTGCATGCTCAGGGAGGCAGCTGGATATTCCAAAGCCTCGGGCTGGGCAAACTTCTCGAGCTGTTTGCAGCTGGCGAAAGGCAACCTCACAAAAGGGATTACGCCTTCACTTGGCAGGGGGAGAAAAAGGAGCCACACTCTCTCCAGAGCTGAGAAATGCCGTTTCCCCCTTTCTACTTGCGAGAGAGCTGGAGTGGCAGACCGCTTTCAGAATCATGACACCTTTGGCAGCAGCGCTTCGGGGCCAGAGCCTCTCCATGACCTCTCCTAGGTTTATTTGGCTTTGGCAAGGGGGGGGGGAGTACTTTTCATGCAACGCCAACCTATGCGCTCGCGCACACCCCCCCCACCGCCTTCTTTTCCAAAGCCCCAGCTCGGAAATCCACAGAAGATCCGCAAAGAGCACAGCGACAAAGCTCACCGCTAAGACGAGTTTGCACAATAATACTCCAAACGCAAAAGGCTCGATGGAGCCGCTCTACACAAAGCAGACCTTTCCTTCTTCAGACGCAGCCGGTTGGCAAAGAACTTTGCACAACTTAAAAGCGACGGTGGGGCTTTTTTGGGGGGGGGGCGATAACCTCATTGCATTTCCCCTTTTCTTTTTTCTTTTTTGCAAATAGAGGAAAGGGAGCCGAAGGTATCTTGGAGGGCAGGGAGATGATACCTTTTAATGTGCACCAACACACGAACAGCCAACCATTCAGGTCAGTCCCCTCCCGGCCATTGCTCTCGACTTGTTCAGCATGGAATAAAGCCGCTCATGGAGAGAGTCTGAGAAATATTGCCAGCGCTGTGGAGGAGGAGGAGGCTGAAGATGCCTCCTGAACACCTGGTCCGCGCGCATCCCCCTCCACATACAGAAGAGCAACCAATCTGGGCTCAGGGGTCCCTGAGGATGGCAGCGCTGCCTGTTCTCTCAGAGTGATTTATTCCTGGCTGAAATAAACAATAAGCTCCGGGACTAGCAGAGGCGATGCGGGGTGGCCGGGCGAGAAGCCTGCTTTCTTCCTTGGCTCGGCTCCCCCACCCCACCCCACCCCCCAAAAGAGACCGCTAAAGTTGCGTTCCCCATGCACCCAAAGACCCCCTTAGCGCGGCCGTGCCTCCTTAACAAAGAACTTACTTTCTTGTGCCATGCTGATGACAGTCTCGGTGGTGGCATGGTACTCGTCTTCCTCCAGATAGTCGTCGTGCTGGAAGGAGTCCCCCTGGAAGTCGTGCAAGTCCAAGATCTGCTGCAGCGGAGGCGCTTTGGGCAACAACTGGTTGACCACCTCTCGGGTGATGTTGGGCGCCTCTTTGAGCCTCAGCTTGCTGAGGATCTGCGACTTGATGCTCTCCAGCCTCATCTCCTTGCTGTGCTTCCGCCACAGACACACCGGGCAGCCCTGGTCCTCTGCCTCTGTCACCAAGGGGACTCCCACCGTGGGCGCTTTATCCGCCCCTCGCTCCGCCGGCTCCCCCGCGCAGAACTCCAAGGACAGCACCAGGCAGCAAAAGAGCACACGAGACCTGGGCACCCGCATGGTGGGCGAGCTGCGCGGTGCACCCTCCCGCCCCCCGCCCGCACCAAAGCCCGGTCCTTTCTCTTGCAAACAAACAAAAAAAATCGCCCTGCTTTGGCCGTGCAGGGGGGATGGGGAGGGATGGCGAGCCGCAGCTGCTGGGTGCTGGTTGTTGGTGGTGGTGGTGCTGCTGCTGCTCTTCTGATGGCTAGAAGTTCTTTGGGTTGGAGATGGTGGGTGACTTGCTGGTTGGGGGAAAGGAAAGGCCGGGGTGGGGGGGGGAGAGGGGAAAAAAAAAGGACTCTCCTTTTATATCCCAACTGAACTGTGTCGTAAAAAGCCTTGATTGGCTGCGGAGGCAACAAAAGATCTCCTGGCAAAAGGGCTGTCACCAAAGGGGGAAAAGAGAGCGAGGAGTTCTGCGCGCTCGTCTCGTGTAAGCGCGGAGCAGCCCAGCCTCGCTCGCCTCCGTGTGTCAAACCTTTTAAGCGCTGGCAGCTCTCTTTGAAAGCCGGAGGGGAGGGGGCGCCCCGGGGGGCGTGGGGCGTGGGGAAGAGGGATCTGACAGCCCCTTAAAGACACAAAGTCCCCTTTGCGCAGCCACCTTCCCCCCTTCTGGTTACCTTCCCCGGGAGGCAAATTGCGAGGTGGTTTTAATAATGCATCTGGCAGGGGAGGGGCTGCTGGGAGCGGCCAGCGGGGAGGGGGCGGCTCGGGCGCCTTTGGGAGTCGAGCAAGGGCTGCTGAGCCGCGTCGGGTTCAGAGATGGCCATTTAAGCAACGCGGGGACTTGAGAGGAGAGGCATTGCTGCCGACCCTCTCTCCTTTTCCTCCTCCTACTCGCCCGTGGTTCCGATCCTCGCCTGGCACTTCCTTATAGTTGCCCACTTTGGACAGGTTAAGCTCTCCTTTTCATCCGGGGAGAGTTCTCTCTCTCTCTCTCTCTCTCTCTCTCTCTCTCTCTCTCTCTCTCTCTCTCTCTCCCCCTCTCTCTCTTTTTCTCTCTCTCTCGCTCGCTCTCTCCACACATCCCTTTCATTCTCATTTCTGGGACGTTTGACAGTTTCTAAGTGCCCCCGGACCATCTAAATCCCCGATCGATGTGACGGTTTCTAGATCCCTCCTTTCTCTCTCTCCGGGTCGCGGGCGCTCTGACAGTCCTTAAGTGCCCCCCTCCCCACTCGGGCGCAGCAAGACCCGCGCGCCTCCGCTGCAAAAGAGAGAGAGAGAGAGAGAGAGAGAGAGAGAGAGAGAGAGAGAGATTCGTTTTCTGCCAAGCGAGCAGTTTTCTTTCTGCCTTTCTCCCCGGCTCTGGCGTCGCAGCTGTCACCCACTCAATAACCCTCCGCTGCCCTTTCGCGTTAATGCACTGCAGCTCCTTGCTTTGCATGCTGGAGCGCTGCCGCCTCTTTCCCTTTCACAAGTTACAATCGCATCTCCAAGCAGGGCGCTGCTAACCGGGGCTGCGCCTGGGGGTGGCTGGGTGGGTGGGTAGCTGGGGGAGGCTGTTTTTTGGCAGGTCCCGAGCCCGGCTCCAAGCAGGAGCCACGTGCGGTTTTGTTGCCTTTTTTCCGCGGTGTTGTTTTTGGCCGTCTGATAAAAGGCGAGCGGGGGAGGTGCGTTTCTTTCTTTCTCTCTTTCTTTCCGAGGGCAAGCGCTGCACCTTCCGCCCCAGGGTTCATCGACTGCCTTTCCAGGGCTCTAGAGACCCCTCGCTTGTGTCAGCGAATCTCCCGAGCGAGCATCTTTCTCTCTCTCTTTCTCCGCGCCCCCCCCCCTTTTGCAGGCAGCCCACCCTGCCCTGCTCCGCTCTGCTGGGCACAGTCAAAGCCTCCAGGGTCAAGGGAGCGTAGCAGGGGGGAGCTGGCCAGGTGAGACGCCTATTAATGAGGTGGGCGGTATAGCCGGGGACAGCGAGCCAGAGAGCCCACGGCCTGGGAGCGAGCGAGCGAGAAAGGAGGAGGAGGAAGGAGGCCAAGGACAGCGAGCGAAAGGCGATCCTCCCTCTTCCTGGGGGAAAAAAAGAGGGAAATAAAGTGGGGAAAGGAAGTTCTCTTTAACGTTTCCAACAGATGCGGGCCACCCGCTTAAACAGCGCCTGTTCTCCTTTGCTAAACGACTCTTTTCCTTTTCCCCTTCAGAAAAAAAAAAAAGACTGGTTCGCGGTTCCAAGAGAAAGCTATTGCACTCAAGGCGATCCTCCTAAACCCCCACTGTCCCTGAAATGCGCTTTCCCTTAATGAGCCGGAAAGCGATTCTTGTTTGAATGATTCGTTTCCGTGTCCGCGCCCCGCCCCAGGGTGAATTCAGACGGCCGTTTAGCCAAGCGGTAACTTTAGCGCTTTCCCAGTAGTGATGTTTTCCCAGTAGTGATGTATGGAATTGAGAGCTGGACCATAAAGAAGGCTGATCGTAAAAGAACTGATGCTTTTGAATTATGGTGCTGGAGGAGACTCTTCAGAGTCCCATGGACTGCAAGAAGATCAAACCTATCCATTCTGAAGGAAATCAGCCCTGAGTGCTCACTGGAAGGACAGATCCTGAAGCTGAGGCTCCAATACTTTGGCCACCTCATGAGAAGAGAAGACTCCCTGGAAAAGACCCTGATGTTGGGAAAGATGGAGGGCACAAGGAGAAGGGGACGACAGAGGACGAGATGGTTGGATAGTGTTCTCGAAGCTACCAGCATGAGTTTGACCAAGCTGCGGGAGGCGGTGGAGGACAGGGGTGCCTGGCGTGCTCTGGTCCATGGGGTCACGAAGAGTTGGACATGACTAAACAGCTAAACAACAACAACAACTTTAGCGCTGTGGGGTTCTGATGGTCATCTTTATGGTCTTGCCAGGTGATGAGCAAGCATCTGCACCTGGTCAGGAATCCGAGGAAGCAGGGAGCCTAAGTCTCCAAGGGAGTCAGAATCTCCTCCTCTTTCTCAGAGTAACACAGACTCACATCTTACCAAGTGTTAACCGGCAATTGCCAGTGAACGGATCATTCCTGGTGTCTGAAGGACCTGGCAAAAATAGTCAACTTTACAACCTCGTGAGGTTTGGGGCTGTTTACAAGAATGTGTGCATCAGGTGTATTTGTTTTGGTAAGGGATGGGAACTACATTTAGGCCCTTCCTTTCTTCCCACCCCACAAAAAGGTATTTAATAGTCACAGCTTGACACTCAGTCTATGCAGTTTAAGAGTCTACTTTCAACAATAACCAAAAAGGTACATGACAAAAATGGACTGATTTCCCCTTCTTTAGTTTACAAACTGCTCAGTCTTCTTTCTTTTTTAGAAGGGAGGAAAGCAGGAAAGGAAAGTGACTCCGGAGATCCTCACTTTAAGCAGGAGCACACTTTCATGTCTCTAATACGCATTAGTCACTCGGTGCATAGAATTAATGTGTCCAATATGTAGACCCTGGGCTTTTTTCAGCCTCCCCAGTGGGCGCCATTGCCATTCAAAGAGAAGGAGGCAGGCATTCATGGTGAGTTCTGGCACCTCTTTTTTCTAGAAAAATAGTGACAAAACACACTGCTTAACACACGTTCAAATGTAATCTGAAATAAAGGAACAATGGCATGCATCACTTGCACAGGTAGCATTATAGAGCTTTCCCAAAGTATTGCAGCTTGAGATTGGAAGCTGCAGTCCTATACAAATTTACCTGGATGTGATTCATTCATAATTTCTCTGGACAAAAGAAGCAGATTATAATTTCATCTGTAGAAGTCTGTAACAGTTGTAAACGGAAGGAACTGTAGCAGCACAGGAGAGGAGCATACATGCATTCCTTAAGGAGCATGTCCTGAGATTCCAAAGTACAGTGGTACCTCGGGTTAAGTACTTAATTCATTCCAGAGGTCCGTTCTTAACCTGAAACTGTTCTTAACCTGAAACACCACTTTAGCTAATGAGGCCTCCCGCTGCTGCCGCACCGCTGGAGAACGAGTTCTGTTCTCATCCTGAAGCAAAGTTCTTAACCTGAAGCACTATTTCTGAGTTAGTGGAGTCTGTAACCTGAAGCGTATGTAACCTGAGGTACCACTGTAACCATTTTGAATATGCAGAATGTCCTAGTTTCATAGAACCAGCATACAGTAACCAGGTGAAACAGAGGGGAAAGCTCTTGCACCTCTAATAGCTGTGTAGAAGGAAAGGGCATTTCAGCAGGTGGATAGCTTACATAAAGAAATAGGCAACACGGATTAGAATTTGCATCATCAAAAGAGAGCTGTTAAAGGTTTATCCCTTGTCAACAATTCTCATCATGCAATTTTGGAGCTTCAGGTTACATCCTGTGGCTATGTCCCCTGAAATTGTTAAGCCTCATGTTCTTCATGATTCACTTCCAACTCACTTCTGGCCATGGCGACATGTTTATTTTATATAAAGGAATCTAATATGCCATACTTTACCTGGAAGGGTCATAAGTCAGCGGCAGTTCACCTACTTTGCAAGCAGAAGTTCCCATATTTAGTAGCATCTCCAAGTAGGACTGGGAAAATATTCCTGTCTGAAACCCTGGAGAGTGAGTTACTGCCAATTAGTGTGGACAATAATTGCCCAATGGTCTGGCTCACTTTATTTTAATGCTTTTTGGCCCTGACAAGCCACTATTGCTCACCCACCTGTTTGAGCCTAACTGGATTCTTTGTTTATCCTTCCATGTTGCCATTGGGATCTTCAACCTTTACTCAAAACTGGGTACTCATTTGCACAGAGAATGGGGGACCTACTGAACCAAACTGCAAATCCCATTGAGCCCTAGTCAGCATGCCCAGAGATCGGAGGTGATGGGAGTTGTAGTCTAACAAACATCTGGAGGGCCACAAGTTCCCCATCCCTAGGTAAAGGCTAAAGGGACCCCTGACCATTAGATCCAGTCATGACCGACTCTGGGGTTGCGGCGCTCATCTTGCTTTATTGGCCGAGGGAGCCGGCGTACAGCTTCCGGTTCATGTGGCCAGCACGACTAAGCCGCTTCTGGCGAACCGGAAACGCCGTTTACCTTCCCACCAGAGCGGTACCTATTTATCTACTTGCACTTTTGACGTGTTTTCGAACTGCTAGGTGGGCAGGAGCAGGGACCGAGCAACGGGAGCTCAAACCACCGCGGGGATTCGAACCGCCGACCTTCTGATCAGCAAGTCCTAGGCTCTGTGGTTTAACCCACAGCGCCACCCGCGTCCTTCCCCATCCCTACATTTGACTAAATGGCTTTCCTTTGAGTTGAACATCTTGCATATACACCAAGAAGAAGAGTTTGGATTTGATATCCTGCTTTATTACTACCCGAAGGAGTCTCAAAGCAGCTAACATTCTCCTTTCAATCCTCCCCCACAACAAACACTCTGTGAGGTGAGTGGGGCTGAGAGACTTCAAAGAAGTGTGACGGGCCCAAGATCACCCAGCAGCTGCATGTGGAGGAGCAGAGACGCGAACTCGGTTCACCAGATTACGAGACTACTGCTCTTCACCACTACACTACACTGGCTCCCAGTGTGCATAAAGCACAAGGGATGGCTCAAAAGACAGAAATAGTTCCCCCTGCATATAATGTGCACTTTATAGGATCCATTGACACACACAATACGTAAGTTTAATCAAGAGGGGTTGCCTTTCTTCAAGCCAATACAATCTTAAGCAGCGAGTTGAAAAGCACCTATGCTGGTTTCCAGGTGTTTTCAGATCAAAAAGCTCTGGACAAATACATACTTGTGTACAGTAATCCAAGAGTGCCCATAAAGTCTTAATGATATTTAGAAATACCATTTTGTTTCTGACTATAACACCACTGCTTAATAGGCCATCTATGAAGTTATTTAATTCTGCTCTGGTTGGTTGCCATTTACATCAATACTGCTGACGTTTAAGTATTGGAGACTTAATAGACTATCCTAGAAGCCCAATGACATGCTTTATGTTCCTCTGCTTTAATATGTGTCCATTTTACTTTATTTTGTGAAGGCTATAACTCAGCTGCCTTTAATGGGTTTTTCTTTAAAAAAAATAAATCAGCCAGATTATACTAGCCTGATACTCAGAGATTTAAAGAAATAAAAAAGCTGTTGTGCAGCCTTTCAGCCCCACAAGTCCGTGGGAGTCTTTCCGCTCCCCAAACTGGCACAAGATAGCTTGCACATGTTCTCTTTGGATGTCAGGGCCCTGACCCCAGCAACAGAATGGGCCA